TAGTTGAAGGTTACAAAGAATTGTGTGAAGGTGAAAATATGGGAATATTTAGCATGAGAACTTTGTAATAATATGATTAAACTGTACAGTTTATGCACATTTATACAAAATCACGCTAGAAAATTTTAAGTTACGAAATTTAATCATTTGCATACTTAAAAGTTGGTAATAATTTTTTTAAGAAATTCAAATATATAGTTAACTAAAACCAGATTGGTGCAGTGTTACGGTATTTTCTACGTTTAGAGGGAGAGTGGTGAATAATGTTCACTTTGTAACAACCAATTTTGCTTAGGAGTAGAAGGTCGCAACTTGTCGGGCCCCGATTTTGATCTCCTTTGGATATGTTGTAGTACTACATGAGTGTAGAAAAAGTGAAGAAGGGTTAGACTCCATGAGCCCATTTACGCCCGCCACACCCCCTCAAAGGCGCCCAAACCCCCAGAGTTGCCGCACTAAATTCATCGCCAAAAATCGAGTTTTGGTCAGATTTTCAAGAAATTTACATTTTTGTGATCCCAGATCCCAGATAGTTGCTCTATCATATTCAATAGCAAACTCAACTCTTTTGAAATTTTCAATATTTTCAATCCATACAGAAAATCTTCGAAAATATTGAAAATTTCAAAAAGTTGAGTTTGCTATTGGATATGATAGAGAAACTATCTGGGATCACAAAAATGTAAATTTCTTGAAAATCTGACCAAAACTCGATTTTTGGCGATGAATTTAGTACGGCAACTCAGCCGTCTCTTTCAGCCCAGTCTGCCAGTGGCACTGCCATTGCCACTGGCAGTTTGTCTGGCACTTCTCTTGGCTCAGTCGTCTCTGCAGCCCAGCCCAATGTCCTCCCAAAGACAAAATTGCGCATTATTTTATCCATCAGAAAATCAAAATTTCATAAAAATTGCGTTGAGCACTTAAATTATGACTTCGTGCACAAGATGCGATCAGCTACACAAATTTAAAACCTTTTTTTTACGTGCACAAACATATTTCACGTGGAACTGATACATTTCCAAAGAGAGAAATATATCGAGAAATATATTGAGAAATATTTATCTGCCTGCATTTAAGTTGATAATTGCATATTACAAATTAACGTATACAAAATGGGTCTTAAAACTGGACCAGATCAAAATTGAACACTCTTTTACTACCGGAGGATCAAAATTATATGAAAATCTCCCACAATTTCTAAATCATAATTGAACTTTAGAAATCCTGCTGTGACACCTTGTAATCATTTTTATACCCATTTTTTTACATACACACATATCTTAGACGTCGAACTGATACATTTCCAAATCGAGAAATATTTAGAAGCGTGCATAAAATTGGAAATTCAAAAGTTTAGAAAATACATCCTAAAATATGACCAGATGCGAGTGTGGTGTCCTCCTAGAAACAAAATTGCATTCTATTTTGCACAAAAATTGCATTCAACTTCTAAATCATGAGTTAGCTCTATCCTTCCCTTCTTTTAATCAACTTTGCAACCGTTACGAAAATATTTTGGAATTATACATCTCTAAATAAAGAAATTGTTACATAACAATATACATCCAATTGGACATTAAAGTTTGGCAAATACTCCATTTATTTAATTAATTTACAATTAATTGTAACCATTTAATTAATTATGTCCAAGTTGATGCACGATGTTAAATATTTCTCTATTTGGAAATGTATCAGTTCCACGTCAAAAATGTGAGTGCATGTAAGAAAGTGTTAAAATTTGGATAACAGATGAATGGTTATTTTCTGTGGAGTCATGTTCAACACAATTTTTGTGCAATTTTGGTTTTCTGGTGATAGAAAAGAATGTAATTTTTGAAAAACACCACATCTGAATCTGGTCCAGGGTTACGATCCATTTTTTTAATGCACAATTAGTTAGATGCACCCTGTTAAATATTTCTCGATTTCGGCAAAAATATGGTTGAATGTAAAAATTGGTTATAAAGTTGATAAAAAGGTATGATCCCAGGATGGCATAAGTTCAATGATGATTTAGAAATTCAACGTAATTTGTATGAAATTTTGATTTTCTGCTATTAAAATGGTACATATATGTAATTTTTCCTCTTTCTGGAAGGACCCCGCGTCTAAATCTGGTCCAGTTTTTCGATCCATTATTCTAAACGTCAATTTCCAATTTGATACATGTTACGAAGTATTTCTCGATTGGGATATGTCCCAATGGGACGTAAAAAATGGTTTTATATAAAAATAAAGATTTAAAATTATCTCAAAGATGCCATGACTATCGCTGCAATCATGATTCAGAAGTTGAATCCTATTTTTACACAACTTTGATTTTTTGTTTAATATAAAATACAATGCAATTTTGTTCACCAATGTTCTCATAAGCTCAATCATGATATAGAAATTTAACGTATTGTGTGTACAATTTATTAGATTTTTTGCAGATAAAATAGTTCACATGTGCAACTTTGTTTCTGGGGGGACACGACATCGAAATCTGGTCCAGTTTTACGGTCCATTGTCTAAACTTTGAAATGGGCAATTAATTACTAAAATATGCCCTGTTAAATATTTTTCGATTTGCAAATGTATTAGTTCCACGTCAAAAATTTGAGTGCATGTAAAAAGGTTATAAATCTGGATAACAGATTCGTTTAACAAAATTTTTGCCCAATTTTTATTTTCAAGTTATACAAAGGCATGGAATTTGGCTTCTTGAAGCCTACCACATCTGAATCTGGTCCCGGGTTACGGTCTATTTTTTAAACTTTTTAATGTGCAATTAGTTAATGCACTCGTTAAGTATTTCTAGCTTTAGGAATATATCAGTCGCACGTCAAAAATATGTATGCATGAGAAAACACTGGTAAAATTTGTAAATATGAAATGTTCCAAATCTTCATCCGATGTCTGATGGTCGGACTTCGAAATTATGATCATAATTTCGAAATTCGGCCCAGTTTTTATGCAATATTGATTTTCTGCTGGATACCGTAGAAAAGATTGAGTTTTGTTACATAGAAGGACACCATGTTTGACACCGAGTTTGGTCCAATTTTACGACCTATTTTCTAAACATTGTTGTATATGATGAGATGAGAAATATTGAAAAATTACGTTAAATTTCTAAATCATGATCGGATTCCGGATGAGAACTTGGAACATCTTATACCAACTTTTCCCTTTTTTTTACATGCATACACACTTTTGACATTGGACTGATACATTTCCAAATTGAGAAGTATTTAACAGCGTGAATCAAAATGGAAATTAAAAAGTTAAAAATGATTTTAAAAAATTGACCAGATTTGCATACGGTGTCGTCCCAGAGAGACATAATTGCATTCAATTTTATCAGAATTGCATCAAAATTGCATTCAACTTGTAAATCATGATTGACAATTGATACTTTTGAGGATGTCATCTTTTAATCAGCTCTGTAAACCTTTTTACTCACAATTAAAATTTTACCGGTCCGTAAAAAATTTGGTACCGAAATGGTAAAACGAATACCGAGAAGACCGCCGGGTATTATTTTAATACTGGATTCCTTATATTATATACACTCGCTATTTAGCGAGTGTATGTAACCATTCCACATATATAGGTGTAGGTAGATAAATCTTTTTGTACTTATATAGTTTGTACACTCGGAAATACATTTTTAGTCGAGCTCAGGATACATAAGAGATCAGTGACCACAGAATGAGTTGGGTAATACGATTTGGCTGAAATTATGCAATGTGTAATTATGCAAAGTTGGGTTTAACATAATTGGTAAATATGTAAAATGGCCATTATGTGAAATGGTAGTTATGCAGCAGAAATTATGTAAAGTGACCGAAGGCCGAACCTTGTGGTATGTTAAAATCAATCTCGAAAATATTTTCTATTCACACACATTTTTGACGTCGAACTGATACATTTCCAAATCGATATTTGGAAATGAACACCATCTCACCAGGTAATGAGATGAGATGAGGTCTATCTCACTAGATAATAAATAGTATGCAATTTTGTTGCCCAATGTTCTCAGAAGTTCAATCATGATTTAGAAATTCAACGTAAATCGTATGAAATATTGATTTTTTGGTTTAAAACTGGTTGCAAGGTTTTGATAATCTTCATCCGATAAATCATAATTTAGGAGTCGATGCTATTTTTATCCAATTCTTTTTTTCTCCTGGATAAAATAAATAGTATGCAATTTTGTTCCCCATTGTTCTCAGAAGTTCAATAATGATTTAGAAATTTAACGTTATTGTATGCAAGTTTGATTTTCTGCAGATAAAATAGTATATTTTTTCAATTTTGTTTTTTGGAGGACACGCCATCTGAATCTGGTCTAGTTTCATCTTCTTAACTTTAAAATGCAATTAATTAAATTAGGAAATGTGTCAATTGTACGTAAAAAATGTGTTTGCATGAATAAAGGGTTGCAAACTTTATTACTTACAAGATCGCATTCTTTAAATTTGTTCAATCATGATTTAAAGTTTTTCATGCAATTTTGATTTCCTGCCGAATAAGAATGCAATTTTGTTTTTATTTCTGGGAGGACAGTACATCTGAATCTGGCCAAGTTTTAGAATCAATTTTCTAAACATTTTAATGTGCAATTAATTAACTGTAAGTATTTCTCCACTCTTAGCAACTTGGTAAAGAATTCCTAATAAGCGTCTTTACCGAGCTCTTGGTAATTACGCGTCCTCAGAGATTCGTGATTAATGAATTTTTTATTCGGATTAAGGATTAAGGATTAATGCTAGTCCGGGATTAGATTAATCCAGGATTATTTAAATAATCCAATTTTCTGGGATTAAGGATTAAGGATTAATTCACAATTCCCTCGGATCCGGGATTAAGGATTAAGGATTAATTAATCATGATTAATTCTTGATTAAGGATTAATGTAATTTTTATTTTAATGCATTTAATGATTTAAACTGAAGTAGATACGTCAAATACTTACAAAACAAACAATGTATAGTAGTGTTGCGTGTTAAGTAATACTAATCTACTTGATTGCTATCTATTTTCAGCGTTACTAACATCTCAAACATATCGTCATTTAGTCGGTTTCTTTTAGGGGACAATATGTGCCCCCCATAATTAAAAATTCTTTCAACGGGTGCACTTGACGGTAACGCAGTATTAACAAGAATAAAGAATTCTTTAACAGAGGGATATTTTGTCAACATAATCAAATCTGTGGCAGGATCTTGCAAATATGTGAGGCATTCCAATTCAATATTGCTAGTTTCCAAGCCTTCATTTTCAGTAGTGCTGTTTGATGCTGGTTCAAATTTGAAGAAATCATCTGTTAACGGCTTTGGAAATACTTCACGTGAAAGATTTTTCTTGGCTGATTTAGCACATACACGTTGAATTAAATTATTCCTCAAGTCATTCTTCTTCTCAAGAGGTACCCATCTTAATTTGAAGTATGGGTGCGCCACCGCCGAAAAGATTTCCATATGTGAATGCGTAATATCCCAATTTGCAATGCCAGGAAATCTTTTCTCAATTGCTTCGACAAGGACTTTTGCCATTTGCACCTCGAATTGACGACCACTTAATTGAATCTCCCTTAATTCGTTTAACACTTTTTGAATCGTGGGCGCTAAGTACCCATAATACATTAACTCTTCGCCTTGCAATTTGTCGAGAGCCATCGCGAGAGGGGCCATTGAAAAAACATAGTCTTCCAGCAATGTAATCTCCAATGTCGACGGCTTGCTTAATTTCCCAAGTTTAAATAATTCTTCAAATTTTTCTTTCATATCGAGCAATCGGCGAATAGAGTCAAAAGTGGAATTCCAACGGGTTGCATTTGGAGTAATTAAGCTCTTTCCACATAATTCTACAATTGATTCGTGCAATTTAGCTGATCTCGAGCTAGCGTTCCAAATTGCGGTACATTTTGATAAAGCGCTTCTGAAAACCGTCTTGAAGTTATCCTGGCCCCTTGGACTTACAATATTAGCCTGAAAAATATTGAACCAATAAGGAACGGAACCAATATCTAATAATGATTTATAACAAGCATTACATTATTAAAATCCGTTGTTGCTACCAGACTTAATGTGTGGGTTGCACATCTCAAATGGGGAGGCAAATTTATTTCGCCAATGTCACCTGAAACAATGTCACCAATTCCGTTCGATGAGACTGCTTCTTCAGTTTGTTCGTCATCATCGTCTTCGTCTAAATAGCTCACTCCAAATTCTTTAAACGCCTTCACAAAGTTGCTGGCGTTATCAGTTACGACACACACGACGTTGTCGGTAGTCAACCCGAACTGATTAAAAATGTTGAGAATCTTCTCTGTTATAGATTCGTAATTGTGTTCGCCTTTGAACCTTTGCAGAGCAAGTAATGCTGATTGTCTTGAGAATTGCTGATCCATCCAATGCAGTGTCATTCCAATGTAGCTGCGATTTCTTCCAGACTAAATATCAGCAGTGGCGCACAATTTTCCAGCATTCTTAATTCTCGATTTCAAACTTAAAATTCTTTTGGCGAAACGATCTTGTATAATATTTCTGAGGCGCTCTGGGCTTGGAATTTTTGCATTGTTGTCCAACCCTTAAAAACCATTAACCAAATCATTAATACAGATATTTCTAGACGACTTGCAAATACTAAATACCCAACATTACCTATAATCATTTTTTTGAACGCCACATTTTGCACGGTTGAGAGGGGACACATTGCGCCAATAATAAAGTCGACAATCAACTGTTCTGACTTTTGTACTCCACTGGGAATTACTATTCTCTGGAATGGCAAAGTGCTCTGTCGAGTGTTCTGCAGTCTGTTATTTGACACCACGTCCGGATCTGGTCCAGCCTTCTTATGATCAATTTTCTAAGCTTTAATAATTGGGTAATTTCATGCATGCTGCTAAATATTGATGATTGAACTGAACCAACGACCTTTAGCACCTTTTAACCAACTTTACTACCTTTTTCAAATACAAGAAAATTTTTAACGTTGAACTGTGACATTTCCAAATCGAGAAATATTTGTGCATCAAATTTATCATTAAAGCTTAGAAAATGGATCGTAAAATTGAACCAGATTCGGCTCCATACTTCTCATATATACATTCTCGAAACAAGAAATATGCTCCGCAGTGAACACTTAATTAATTACACATTTAAGTTTAAAAAGTGGATTTTAAAATTTTGAGGAGACGTGGTGTCCTCCCAGAAAGAAAATTGCATACTATTTTACAAGCAGAATATCAAAATTACATATAAATTTCATTAAATTTCATGAGTTAGCTCTATCCTCAACATCTTTTAATCAGCTTTACAACCGTTTTTATATACATAAATATTTTTGATGTTGAATTAATACATCTCCAAATCAAGAAATACTTAAATAGCAGTGTGTATCGTGATAGACATGTACTTAATTAATTATGTTCTAAGTAATTGCTTCTCGCTGCTAAAAGTTTCTCAATTTGGAAAAATTGTTCTACGTCTAAAATGTATGTGTTTGTAAAAAGGTTGCTAAGTTGGATAACAGATCGATTTATTTTTTTTATTTTTATGCATCGTGAACAATGATTTGTGATTTAGAAATACTTAACAAGTTTGAATTTCAGGTGAAAAAATATTAATGCGATTTTTTAAGTCTTGTTTTATTGTCTTTTATTGTATTTTTATTTCTTGTCTTATTTTCATTTTCTAAATTTTAACGTGTGACGTGTAGTGTGCAATTGGTTAAATGTGCGCAGCTAAATGAATTGATCTCTGTTGACAGAACGGGAATATAAATAATGGATTAAGAAACACAACAATAAATATTCCTCTATTTGGAAATGTATTAGTTCGACGTCGAAAATGTGTGAGCATTGAAAAAATTGGTTTAAAGTTGATTACAAGGTATGGCGCCGGTGTATGTAAGTTTGATCCTGGTTTAGAAATTCAACGTAATTTGTATGCAATTCTGATTTTCTGCTGGTAAAATAGTGTGCAAGTTTGTTTCTGGGAGGACATCACATCTGAATCGGTTCGAGGTTTACGATGCATTTTCGAAACTTGTTAATGCCCAATTAATTAATTGCACCCTGTTAAATATGCATTTTTCTAATTGGAAGTGCCACGGCAAAAATGTGCACGCATTTATTAAGATGAAAATTTTAATTTTCATTAAATATGCATAAGACGTGCGCATTAAAAGCTATTAAGGATGTGCAGGAAGAAAATAACATTCTGCTTTATCAGCAGAATGTTAAAATTTCATAAAAACTTCTTAATCATCATTGTGAGAAAGGCAAATAAACTAGAATTAATCTTGCAATCAATTTTTAACCCTTTTTTACGTACACAAGCATTTTTGTCGTCGAACTGCTTCAACAAACAATAGTTAGCACTGTTAGCCGCGTGAATTTAATCAATTGGATATTACACAATTAAAAAAAATTAATCTTAAAACTGCATTAGATTAGGTGTCTTACAAGAATCAAATTGCATACAATTTTACCAGCAGAAAATCAGAATTGAATAAAAGCTTGCATTAAACTTTTGCACAATGTAATTAAAATGCACTGTTTTAACTCCTCGCATTTTTACCGTCGAACGGATACATTTACAAATATAAGAATATTCAGCAACAAGAATCTAATTAAAAGAAAGCTTACGATTAGATAATGGATCGCAAAATTGAACCAGGATCGGACGCGGTGTCCTCCCAAAGACAAAATTGCACATTATTTTATCCATGAGAAAATCAAAATTTCATAAAAATTGCGTACCGTACGCACACAGCATAACTTTTTTTTACTTGCACACGCATATTTGACGTGAAACTGATACATTTCCAAGTTCAGAAATATTTACCAGCGTCCATTTAAGTAGATAATTGCATATTACAAACTAAAGTTCAGAAAATGGATCTTAAAACTGGACCAGATGGGGTGTCGTTTCAGGTACAAAATTAAACACTCTTTTGGAGGATCAAAATTATATTATTGTCAATATCGAGTGTATGTATGTATATCTACGAAACGTCTTTATTACCGTTAAAATACCAAATTACAAATTTTCTTGTATATACTAATCACCAAAGGTTTCACATTTTGGCAGCCTCAATTATGGCTGAAGCCACATAATTTTGCACTCCACGGTCAATGTGGGACCATTTTTCGATAAATTGACGGCTCTCTTCGTTCACTTGGATGGAAATGTTGGTAAATCCAGCATTTTCCAGAGCTTCCTTCAACTCACCGACCGGGGTGGCTCCAGCCATGCAACCATTATACAATTCCAGGTCTTGCTTGATCTCCTCTGGCAAAGGGCTGGTCGCAACGATGTCGGAAATTGCGAGACGACCACCCCGTCTCAAAACGCGTGCGGCCTCCCGGATTACTTGGGCTTTGTCGGTGGCTAGATTGATGACACTGAAATATGAAGATGTCCAAATCAGATCTTGGTCGTATACTTATTTCGTACCCAATTTGTAATGAATTGATCTCTGAATTGTAATGAATTGTAATGAATGAATGAATGAATGAATGAATGAATGAATGAATGAATGAATGAATTGTAATGAATTGATCTCTATTGACATGTGAATAAAGGATTAGCAAATAAATATGTACAGGGTGGTTTAAATGTCAGGTTACAATGGGAAATTTTTCAATTGGAAAAATTCATAAATTTCCATTAGTTATGGATTTGGGATTGAGATTTTTTATTAATTTTTATCAAAACTTATGGAACACTGATGACGAAATTCTGAAAATATTGAATTTCAAAGGCAAACTTTCGGTAAATAATTTTCAAATTTGCGAATTTCGGATTTGCGAATTTTTCCGATTGAAAAATTTTCTATTGTAGCCTGACATTTAAACCACCCTGTATAAATCGTACCAGTTCGATATGATGGCATCCACTGTGTTATCAGCCACTGGAAGATGTTCAATCTCTCCAAGACGAAAGCTGACATTTGTATATCCCCCTTTTCGAGCATTAAGACGAGCCTTATGTAACATTTCCGGTGTCATATCTACTCCAATGACGGTCCCAGTTTTTCCAACTTTTTTGGCTGCCAGGAAGCAATCAAAGCCACCCCCACTCCCCAAGTCCAAAACAACTTGGCCCTCTTTCAGTTCAGCTATGGCGGTCGGACTGTGCATTTCAAGAATGAAATTAGAAGCGTTGCAAACGAAATGTAGCGAAGGAGTGAAGCGAGGGGTGCATGTCAAAAAACAAAATTTATTTTTGAAATCCCTGCCCGAAACTAGGTCTAAAACGATTAAGACAAAAAAATCGACATTTTCGACTTTGCCGTCATCTACACAGTCATATCGCGTCAAAATTATGCCAATTTTTGAAATCCTCGCCCAAAACATACGTCTAAAATGGTTAAAACAAAAATTTCGACATATTTCACCGTTAGCTTCATCCCCCTGGCGCCGTCTAATAAGCCCATCTTCGAACTCATCTGTACTTAAAAATGGCGTTTCGAAATTCGAATCCGTTCTAAAGTTATCGTGGATACGGACAGACAAACAGACGAGACATTTCCATAAAGGGATTTCGCGTCGCTTCACCCCTTAACAATTAATCTGCCTACTTTCCACATCCCAGCCCCATGTTTGCCCCATCAACCATGGTTTTCATATCGTCGTCAGTGTAACCCAGAAATTTTTTGCAGTACTCGATGTCCACTTCCTTTGGGGCTCCGCAACAGGAGGACTGAATCCCGACGGCTTTTCCGGCTGAATTTTTCACAGCCACCTCTGCGTAGGCTTTTCGAACGCTGGCCTTCAGTTGGACATCCTCCTCAGTCACAGGCTTTCCCTTACAACAAGTCGTGGTGCTGGTCATTTTTCTACTCTTATCTCTCGTCGGACGAGACTCGTACTGAGAAATAAATGGAGTTGGACAATAAGACCAATTTTGTGGCTTATTAACAGAGCGCGGATATGTATGTATGTACGTAAATTCCGCAAAATATGTGCTTAAAAACCTGAAAATATGCATATAAAAATAGATATTTTTTAACTTTAATTTTCTATTATATTTATGAAATTAAGGTTTTGAGGAAACCTTAATTTCGGAATGAAGAAAAATATTTTTACATAAAAAACTTCGAAATAAATATCTATGAAAATATTTATATTTCGAAAAATACTCGAAATATACAGGAAAATATGTAATACCCTAAAATATGGAAAATATGGAAAACTATGTTTGAATTTTTGCGATCGTGCTTAGATTGAATACGAAGTTTTAATTTGATCTTATTTGGTATGAAAAAGTCATAAATGCATACATATCCGCCGTCTGTTTATTAAATCAACACTGCAATTCAACGATTGTTTCATAATCATAACATATTGGTCAGGTACTTGAGTGTCTGCTGGAAGATTCTGTAATATATTCAACCTGCGTCATGAGATTATGTAATTAAAACATTTGGGATTTGCATAACTTTACTCAAACCAGGTCCATTAATACATTTTTGCATAGATAACACGTTCTGATGTGCCTGATAACAGGTACTTCTGAGGATTGCTCATGTACTCAAATGTTAATTTGTGGTTGACCTTGGAATGTATTATGCGTCATTAGATGTTGAGTAAGAGGTGAAGAGAAGTGAAATCCCTTTACAGAAATTCCTTATCTGCATGTCTGTCTGTCCGTCTGTCTGTCCGTCTGGCTGTCCGTCTGTCTGTCCGTCTGTCTGTCCGTCTGTCTGTAGCCACGATAACTTTAGAACGGATTTGACTTTCGACATCCGGTTTTCGCCAACGTGTTTCTAATTTTTGAAGTTAGAAAACGGGCGTTGTGGGTCATAAGGTCACGGCGGTATAAAGTCGTGGTGATGAGATAAACGGTCAAAGACGTAAATTTTTCTTTCCACCGCTTTAGACGTAGTATAGAGCCGAGATTTCAGAAGTCGGCATAGTTTTGACATGACATGACCGTTCAGATGACGTCAAAGTCGAAAATGTCGAATTTTTCGACATTCGGGGCGGATATTTCAAAAATCGACATGGTTTTGACGTACGATGACCGAGTCGCTTCACCCCTTTGCTACATTTCGTCTGCAACGTATCTATCTTAAGAAACGTTATAAAGTTATGTAACATGTAGCTGTTTTTTTCATTTTACCGATATTACTTAACTACATGCATTATTTTCTAAACATTAATGGCGAATTTGATACGTAAATACTGCTAAATATTTCTCGATTGTGTTTCTTGGAAATGTATCAGTAAATGTGTTATGGTCTTCGACGTCAAAAATATATGTGTATGAAAAACGGGTACACAATTGATTAAAAGATGAGTTTCCTGCATGATGACAAGTTTGATTTTGATTTAGAAATTCAATAAAATTTTATGCAATTTAATCTGCACGTTCAATCCTCTAATCTTTAATGATTATTTAATTTGATGCACGCTGCTAAATATAAATGCTTAATGTAATAATTCATTTTTTCGAAAATAAATTTTCAAATTCTATCTGATGCCTTGTTTTGTTTTGTTGTTGACAATTCTTCACAGTTTGATGTTTATGAAATTTTTACAAAATTGAGTAGACAAAAACAACACCTGTAAAAATACACGAATAATGCTACTTCATCCATTAAAAACTATCGGCGTATAGGTTTGATTGCAAACTTTTGATTAACAAATAGAAAATGCATGTTTAGAGGAAAATCTTGCTGAAGCATATTTCAAGCTAAATTTTGTAATTACAGATCTTCGCCAGTACTGATGAATCGATAAATTATCGTCAAAATCAGCAGATTTTTAATCATTTTCAGCTCTGAATTTTAAAATTTGGAAATGTATCAGGCATCGGATCGACGTCAAGTGTGTATTGAGGGTTACAAAGTTGGAGAGCAGATTACTGGATGATTTAAATGCTCAACGTAATTTTGGTACAATTTTGATTTTCTTCGGATAAAACAGAATGCAATTTTATTCCTGAAGAGGATAACGGATCCGATTCTGGTTCAAATTTACGATCTATTCTCCAATCGTAAATTTTTTTAGTGTTCAATTCTTTGATTCACGCTGCTAAATATTTCTCAATTTGGAAATGTATCAGTTCGACGTTAAAAGTGGGGTGAGTCATGCTTTAGAAATTCGTTGCAATTTTTATGTAATTCGGAATTTCTGCTGGATGAAGTATTTAGTATGCAAAAGATTTGGAAATGTAAATTTCACGTCAAAAATGTTTGTGCATGTAAAAAGGGTAGCAAAGTTGATTTAAAAGATTGTTGTGAATAATAATTCAATCACGATTTAGAAATTTAATGCAGTGTTTATGCAATTCCTATTTTCTGTGGATATAAAAGAATGCAATTTCATTTCTTGGGGGACACCTCAGTCGCATGTAATCCAGTTTTACGATACATTTTTTAAACTTTAATGTCCAATTAATTAAATGCTTAATTTGGAAATGTAGCAGTTCGACGTCGAAAATATGTATGAATGCAAAAAAGGTTATCAGGTTGGATAACAGGTACCATCGTGGCATCGCTTTCGATCTATGAATGGTAAATTATGAATGAATGGTTAGTTAATGAATAATAAACTTAAATGGTTATTGCAGTTTTTGTGCTATTCTGTTTAATAAAATAGTATGCAATTTTGTCTCTGGGAGGATACGGCATTCGCATCTCGTGCAGTTTTAAGATCAGTTTTCGAACTTTCAAAGAGAATTTGTAATTTGATTCCTCATTAAAGTTTCTAATGCAAAGTGCATTAAAAGCAATTTACAGGAACAAAATTATATTCAGCTTCATCAGCAGAAAATCAAAATTTCATAAAAAATGCGTTCGAAGTCTCAATCATAATTGTGAGGAAGAAAAATAAGCTTTTAATCGGGTTTTAACCCCTTCTGTCTACACGCATTTTGTCCTCGAACTAATGCACTTTCAAAAAGAGAAATATTGCGTTACTTTAATTAATTGGATATTAAAGTTTTAAAGAAACTTATCTTCAAACTGGACCAGATTCGGATTCGGTGTCTTACAAGAAATTAAATTGCATACAATTTTACCAGCAGAAAATAAGAATTGCATAAGCTTGCATTAAACTTTTGCACAATGTAATTAAAATACATTTGTTTAACTCCTCGCATTTACAAATCAATGAATTTTTAGCAACTTGAACCAAATTGAGCATTAGAAAATCTTACGATTAGATAATGGATCGCAAAATTGAACCGGAATTTGACGCGGTGTCCTCCCAAAGACAAAATTGCACATTATTTTTGCAAAAATTTCATACAAATTGAGCATTTAAATCATGACATTCATGACTGGACCCAGTAAAAGCTACCTGTTACCCAAATTTAAAACCTTTTTTACATGCACATACACATTTGACGTGGAACTGATATATTTCCAAATTGAGAAATATTTAACAGCGTGAGCATTTAAGTAGTTAATTGCATATTACAAATTATAGTTTAGAAAATGGATCTAAAACTGGATTAGATGTGGTATAACTTTCAGGAGCAAGATTGAACACTCTTTTACTACCGGAGGATCAAAATTGCAGAAAAATAACATTTAATTTCAAAACCATTACTAAAACTTAAGATCAGGTATCAATTAATCCTTTAATCAATTTTAAAACCTTTTTTTACATACACACATAATTTAGACGTCGAACTGATACATTTCCAAATCGAGAAATATTTAGAAGCGTGAATAAAACTGGAAATTCAAAGGTTTAGAAAATGCATTCTAAAATTTGACCAGATGCGAGTGTGGTGTCCTCCCAGAAACAAAATTGCATACTATTTTACAACCAGAAAGTTCAAATTGCACAAAAAATTTTGGACTTATACATCTCCAAATAAAGAAATGCTTAAAAAACAATATGCATCCAGTTGGACATCCAGTTTGCGAAGTTTCGCAAATACTCCATTAATAAATACTGATTTTCTGCTGGAGAAAATATTCTGCAATTTTATTTCTGGTAGGATACCTCATTCGTGTTTGACCCAGTTTTACGATACATTTTCTGAACATTTGTATGCATAATTAATTTGCAGGCTGCTACATAAATATGTATTTCCCGATTTCGAAATGCATCAGTTCGACGTCAAGGGTGGATGTGTACGTAAAAAGGGTTCTAAACTTGATTAAAGGATTCGTGTCACATTGACCATGCATTCCATCAATAAGGTCAATCATGATTTAGAAATTCTATGTAATTTGTATGCAATTTTGGATTTTCTGTTGGATAAAATAGTATGCCAGTTAGTTTCTGGGAGGACATCGCATCTGCATCTGTTGGAGGTTTATGAATGATGAATTTTTCTAAACTTTTTTATGTCCAATTAATTAAATCCACTATGTTAAATATGTCTCTAATTGGAAGTGTATCAGTTCCAGGGCAAAAAATGTGCATGTATTTAAAAACAAGATGTAAACTTGTTAAAACATCTGACTTCATTCAATAATTCTGATTTTTCTGATGATAAAATACAATTTGCTGATTACCTGATTAGGTTGTTAATATTACGGAATATTTAAATGTAAGATCACGTTATGTATTCATGAATTTAAAAATTTTCATTTTACAAGTGAGACCAAATTGTCTATTACAAACTTACCATACCAATTTGATCAGAGCGACTGGTATTACTAGACCAAAAAAGCACGTCAAATTGACCTCTCATCAGACCCAGTTAACCTAGCATCGGAATTAACTTAATTTCTATACTCAATCTATTTTTTAATATTATTTGATGTAAGCCAGTCATTAAATTGTACGGATGTACATATTCCTATATAGGAATAACATGTGAATACATGACTGCCAAACAACGAGATTTTGTTTCTAGGAGGATACAGCGTCTGCATCCAGTCAAATTTGCGATCCATTTTCTCCGCTTTTTAATGTTCAATTTGATGTAAGTTACTCAATATTTCTCAATTTGGGAATGTATTAGTTCCACGTCTAAAATTTGTGTGTATGTAAAACGTGGGTATAAAA